GGGGGGGGTTAAGTGCTTTACGGTGCTCGCAACTGTATATGGTCATATGAGCGTGCAGGACACGTTAAACATTTTCGGTTTGTAGGAAATTTTGAATTTTGCCTTGGTGGCGGCCGAAGTCTACTTTTATTGATTTTAGACCACCAAGGGATCTTTAGCGTGCACAAATTGCACATGAGCCCTCCGAGATTTTTCGACCTTGTCCAAGAAGGCTAGGTGTAGATTTTTCCTACCAGAAGATCAGAGGTGTGGCTGAAAGACAGCAGTAAGAAGGAGCTAAGAAGTAGCAGTAGAAAGGCTGCAGAAAGAGTCAGGAGCCCAGAGGAGGGTGGAGGCAGAAAGAGGAAACGAAAGTAGACGACAGAACATTGCTAGAGCAGGAAAGCAGGTGAAAGGAGACAATTTTAGAGAAGAACATTTTTCGGTCGCTACCCGGGTTCGAACCCGGTACCTTTGAATGAGAGGCCAACACCTTGACCTCTAGGCCACGAGAGCCCCCTGACATCATGTCTACCTCCATATTGGTCCGATAGTGTGAAACCCTGGAAGCGTGTAGCAGGTAAAGTAAGTTTTGAATAGAGACACCTCAACTAGACCTTCACTAATGTAAGTTAATAATAGCTGTTAGCTGGCTCTTTTGGACATTATTTCCTGGAATTATATTTCTCCTTTTCAGACATGGCATTGCTGGAGGAGAAGAAAGGCCCAGTGACATGGGATGCGGTGGTCCTGACATGTGCCAAGAAAGAATGGACTGAAACGTTGCAACATGGTAAGACCGCAAATTGTCAAGTGCATTTCGGTAAATGCAGCTAGTAAAGGCTGAAATCTTCCAGAAGATTTTAAAAAAATTGTTTTTTGATAAAGGCAGCCTACCTTTGAAATTTGGTTTCTATCCATGCCAATTTCAGACAATGCATCACAACTGGTGCTGAATGCTTTTAGTTTTAAAAAAAAATTTTTGTTTGTTTGGTTGTTGTTGTGTTGTTTTTTTTTGGGGGGGGGGGGGTCTGAGGGAAAATAGCATGGATTTGTTTTGGAATTGTTTTCTGTCGGTTGGGGAATGGAGATGGTTGAATTAATCACTGTTTTTGTTTTAACTATTGTAAATCATTCACATCTTTTTGATCACTACAGAACTGGATGTGCGGGTGGCTAAAGGTTACCTGGGTCGAGACATCATTCATCTGGTGGTTGAAGACCCCAAGTCCAATGTTGGAAGTGGTGGAGCTACAGTAAACGCTCTTCTCTCTGTGGTGGAATATATGAGTGCTCGTCGAGGCTTCACAGTGAGTCTGACATTGTCATAGCAGGCTAGCCAACTGTCCTAAATTTCCTGAAACTGTCCTGTGTTTTGGAATCAGGAATTTGAGAGCGTTATCGCATTCACTACACCACAACCAGTCCCACTGGATGTAAAATAATTTTGTTCATTATTATGCAATCTGCTTTTACAACTATGGGTGTCCCTGACTGAGATTTTGTAAAGCTGGCAAGCCTATTATGAGAGTCTGCTGTTTGAATACATTTGAAGTTTAGACGATTTTTTATCTATAAAAGAATACTACTGAAATAATACAGACAGACTTAAAGTTATAGAATAAAATAATTTGCATTTCTACTGTTACACTAACTAGCTTTATGTCTTTAACTTTTCAGTTATTCACTTTTTTGTCCTTCAGTATGTCTTGTTTGAAGTGTATTTAAGTTTTTTTTTGTTTATCTTTGTAAATTCTAATGGAGAAAGCATTCTGTTCTCTCAGAGAATATAAATAATGATGCTTCTCTGCTTGCCAAATTTATGTTTAGAAGATGGGGACAACGAAAAAAAAACCTCATAATATTTTGCCTTCCCATTTATGAAAATAAAAAAATGAAAAATTAACATAATGGTATAGGTTTCAGTATGTTTTGCATGGTTTCTTCGATTTTTTTCTTCCCAGGTTTTTTATTATTGCTTTGTGATTGTTATACATGTCTGGCCATCATGTTACAATATTTAAGAAAATCACTATATTGATTTCTGCGTACAGGCCATCAATGCAGATGTATTACAAGGGGCAAACATTTTGATCCTACACACAGTGAGTATCTTTATTAAGTCAGCGTTTGTAACAAATTAATTATTTTTCTCTCCTCCTATCTTCTTAACTTCAAATGTTTTCTTGCTGTTCCAGACATTGCTACAAGAAGCCAGTTTCCCACTGTGCCATGACTTATGGCTTTTTATACCATCTCACCTGTACTTTGACAGTTTATCTAGACAAAGAAATGTGATATAAATTTACACTTCCCATCAGCATGCAAAATCAGGAGCATTCACTTTCCTTGGCAATGTGTTTGCATGTCACTACGTAGCACAAAGTGTTGCAGTAGACGATGGGAATGCTGCCCTCTGCTCTCTGTGGTACTTTTTGTTGGACACTAATGTGTCCTTATGCTACAAACTTAACAAGTGTTTTTTCCAGAAATGAGTGGTGAATCATGATTGGGGATATCTACTTTAGGCGTAAATGTTCACATAAAAATTAGGTGACCTGGTTTGTTAGAAGAAAACAGCCCTGAATTATAAAGCCAAAAGAATGTGGTGGCCTTCCTGTGGGCTATGGAGTACTTATTTAGAAACCAACTAAATCAAGGATTATTTTTTTTTTGGTATCATTCAATTGTTTTTTCTTTTTGATCCTCACTCATTAGTTCCCGGAAATTACCATTATATATGATTTAACTCACTCTGTTACACATCAGTTCTTTGGTTCTTTGACTGAAATGTATAAATCACATACATGAAGTTTTGTTTTCATTCTTTTATGTGTATTATCCCTTGTTTGTTAGAGAAACACCCCCCCCCCCCAACACACTTTTCCCGTTTTCCCTCATACACCAAACCCTGGGAACACTCTGTGGGAGACCAAACAATAATTACAGCTGTCCTGCACATTAGTCTTTGAGGTGAAAGCTTTTACATAGTAAGATTGATGTTTATAGTAGGACAGAAAGTCCATTTCTTCCCTGATCTCCTTAAATGTTAGCCTTATTTTTACTTGTGACAGTAGCTCATGTTGAAGTTTGACACCTTACGTTGTGCTGCTTTGTCTTCTTATTTCTGTTTAAGACTTTAATAAAAATTAAATCAACATTATTAGTTCATAGCCCATCCCTTCATAGGCTGATAACTTTCTGGAGGCTGAGGTGAGATTTGTGGGTTTTGTGTCATACTTCCCATGTAACTTTATAATGGGGTTTTTACTGTACCTTAATGGACTTTAATTTGCTAATACCCCTAGACGTGGTATCATTTCTGTTGCTTTGATTCGCTGATGTATGCCCAAGCTTCTTGCAAAACATACTTTGTCTGTATGTATATTGCCTCATTTAGTATCATCCTTTGTCCTTTTGTCCTTCATTGTTCTATACCAATTAATGTAGCAGCAAACACTTAAATTAGTCCTTTTTTTTGTTGGAAAATGCAACCCACAAATTCTGTTTTGCTTAGAGATATCAGACTATTCTACATTTTTTAAATGACAGAAGCCTTAGGCCTATTATGGGTAAATGAATTATTTTTTTAAATGGAAAAGCAAAGTTTTATGTTTATAACTAGAAGGACATTGCTCACATCAAACTTGCTCTCCTTAAGGTGACAAGAGAAGAGATTTTCTTTTGCTGAATTTCATCTGTAAAGAGTAGGTTTAAGCTTTGAGAAAACATTTTGTTTGTTCTCCTGTGGTTTTGGGTTCTTTCTTTTGAAAAGATAAAATACCACAGATCCCCCAATAAAAACTAACCCAAGGCCAATGGCCCGTCTCTTTACTTTACTCTTATTCTGCCTTGTACCCTAACTTGCTAATTCCTGTAGATAGTTTTGATAATTTTATTTTGCATTTTTGTAGGGGGGGTCTCAACATTCTTTGGAATAAATTTTTCAAAAGCATATTCATTGATGCTTATTTTCCCAGGGTTTGTGCTTTGAAGTTTAAAAAAACTTTCCAAATGTGATAGGGATGAAAAAACGTTAAGCTCCACACAAAATACAACTTTCCAGTTTTAGTGTTTGTTTATGAAAGTTCTTATTGCTCAATATGAACAGTTTAACTAATGTTTGTTTTATTTTTTGCAGTTTTTAAATCAATAATAAATTAAATTGTCATAAAGTAAGACAAATGAGCCAGACAAAAAAAGTACATGCACTAGTCTCTTTGAGTGGTAGACAGTGACTGATGATAATACACAGGTGAATGGACACTGCACTCAACACAGCTACACCCAGCACTGAGCGACACTCACCTTGGCTTATCAGACAAGACAAGTGAACAGAAACGCAGCTAGAGAAATATCACCACACCATGAATTATTGGCTTTGGGATTCACTTTTTGCAACTTTCATAGTTTATGGTAAACCTTTTTGAATATTTTACACTGTTTCAGGGTACTTGAAGAAAATTCCTTAAAGGTTAACGAAAATTAGTTTCCTGCAAAAATGCTGTTTTAGAGTTAAAACAGTATAGTTATGCCTTCTCGTGGACAATATGAGCAACATCACTCTATGCCACTGCATTATCACAAAACACAACTTGTACACGTATGCAGTATGCAGCTCAAACTCTACTGTCTGAAATTTGCTGTCTTTAGCAACAAAGCACCATCTGCAACTACTTTTGTTACTTGCTTGTGGTTCTGTCCGTCTGCTTATGGTAGAGACTCCAGTTTTTGCAACTTCTGGTAATGTTCAAAGTGTTGATTGTCAATCATGAATAGTTTGGAGGCTCTTGTCAATTTTTGGGCATACAGAGTTAATGGTATCATCCTAAAGCTTGTTCGTTTGTCTTGCTATGGATGAAAAAATATCCATTTATCTTGAATACAAGTGGAGATTTTTGTGAATGATGGTGGTGGGGGTACCCAGTTTTCGAGGTAAAATTAGTGAGAATATGGCCGCCAAAGATTAGTTATTTCCTTAGCTTAAGAGTCCATAGATACTGAAAATTTACTTTTTTTTTGCCTTTAATCAACGCTTTTCAGTAAAAATCCACTCAGAAATGTGTTCTTAACATGAAAGGTGTTGAGCCAAAAGACAAAAATTCGATAAAAATTCACAAACCTGTGGAAAAATGCCAATTTCTTCACTTTCATTATTTTGACGAGCGCTTGATTTCACCACACTGCTTCACATATGTACTTTTATCTTATGAATCGTATTGCTCCTTGTTGTTATTATGGCTTTTCTCAAATTACACCAGAAGACTTTAAAAACAGCTTTATGCATCTTAGTGCCTGCAGGCCACTTTAAAGATACTTCACTCCCACAAAATCTGCTGACAGTTGAATAATATTTTTGTGCATCCTCCAAATGTATTACTTTTAAAACACTTAATTCTGTTCTTATCGCTTTACAACATCTTTTTCTAGAGAGATGTACTTGAAATCCCATACTGTATCTTATGCCTGCTCTGCACTCCAAAAATACTCCAGGCTTTTTAACTAAGTGTGAACAAATTCAATAGATATTTGTATTTTCAAAACACATTTAGGCATAAAAGAAAAAAAAAAGAGAGAGATAGATAGATAGAGAGAGACAGACAGACAGACAGACTGACAGACTGACAGACAAGCAGACAGAGGGAAAAATAGAATGACAGAGAGAGAGAAAGAAAGAGAGAGTGGTTTTAGTTAAAGAGGAGAAAGAGAGTGAGAGGAGAAGTGGGACAATTGGAAGAAGAGATAGCATGAAGAGTGAAACAAATGGGAGCAAATACTGAGTGAAAAAAAGTACCAAGAAGTAGAACGGTGAGATGAGAAGAACATAAAGTCATAAGTAGAGTGAGATGACATCCAAACTTTTTAAAAAGCATTTGTCTTATGTATTAACTCTAAGACGGACAGAGTTACAAAACAATGAGAAAGCAGTCTTCCTAATTCAGGCTGACAATTTTTTTTGCTTATAATAATAATAATAATTTCATTTATATAGCGCATATCCATGCTCAAGAGCATGCTCTATGCGCTTTACAACTATTATTACCCCAGCAGACCCTCTGAGAACACTCAGAAACATTCTCGGCTTCCGCGTAAGTATACAGTGCAAGCTGCGGATTTCACGCGCTCAAACACTATCAAACTGACAAGAGCGTTCACTGTCTATAGCCGGGTACCCATTTCCACCTGGGTGAAGTGAGGAAAATTTGTACAAAGTGCCTTTCCCAAGGACTCAACATCGGGTCCCTGACAGGATTCGAACCCACGACCTTACGGTTGCGAGTCTGAGAGCCTAACCACTAGGCCACTGACGCCACATGTTTTATGTAAGTTTTCAGACTGTGCCGAAATAGAGCTTTGAGTCAAGACAATTTGTTTTTAGTACCTTAGTATCATGTAGGCTGTCCTGATTTTGTGAATAGTATTTTTGCCAAAGACCTTGAATCAAACAAATTTTTCATGCCTTTTTTTATTCATTCCATCATTGTCTTATTGAAGAGAATTTCTTTGTTATGAAATGCTATCATCACAAGGAAACAGGCTCTATACAGTCATTAAAACTTTTTCTGATGTAGGGCAGGAGTTATACATATGAAGCATGCAGCCGACCATTTGTCAATCTACCGGTATCGAGAGTCTCCCCGACATTTGATGGCCCAGTGTGCAACTTTGACCTCATTTTTTCCATCATTACGGAGAAGGTAAGTCATCTAGCAGACATAAAGATAAAAGAAGTTTCTTAATGTGGTTGTTGAAGAGAATATCGCTACTTGGGCAAAAACATCACTTTTATGGCTTAGACCTTGTCCTCAGACACGCTGCCTGGCTGAGGAGAAATATTCCTCTTCACATAAAAAATTGAATGTGGAGATGAGGCTAAAGTTTTTTTAAGTTGGTCTAGTTTTTAACCAAGTGAGCCATAGCGATTTCCATATTAATATTTTCACCTGTTTTCAGAACAGGGTGGATACCTCATGTGTTTAAAAATATCTATGTGTATAACTTTTTTACTTAATTTTTATTTCTAATGTTTCAGTATTTTAAGAAAAATCCAAATAATTTTAAAGTTAACATATATTTCTTTCACCTGGGAAAAATTTATAAGGGTAAAAGATTGTAAAATATTTTAGACTTTCTGGTCCAATGCAATGAAAATGAATACACATGCTTAAAGAGATTCATAGATTAACCTTGATATTTTAGAAGTGGCTCTTGATAGTCTGTGTACCATAAAGATCAGAAAGATTTTTTTTTTTAAATTGTTATGTCTTCATAATGTCTTTATCTGTTTGAATATTACTTTCAAAAGAGGAGAAAAGTAATTTTTCCAAATTCAGAAAACAAAACCATGAGACCCATTCCGTTAATATATATATTTATTTGTGCCAACTGCCCCCCCCCCCTTTCCCCCCTTTCTCCATGCACCCAGATTGCAGTATTTGCCAAGCCTGGTGTATGGGTGTGCAGCACTGATATGCTAGTGTCAGTGCCAGAGTATTTTGGTGAGACATATATCTTAATGGGGTACTTATGTATATAAAAGTATGACTGATGGTGAAAATGTTTGAGAAGTCACTACTGGTATATATATTTGTAAATGTTATGAAAAATTCTGAATGTGATAGCTTATTCTTTCTTTAGTTTAAAGGTTTGCTACTACTACTACCATTTTTATTTAGATTTCATCATTTGGACTCTGTTTTTCATAAAGCCTTATTAAAAGAGTTGGGCTGTTTTTGCAATAGATACTGTGTCCTCTTGTAGCAAATTTGTGCTAAAAAAAACCTCTTCATGGTTTACTATCTTTGACTTTCATCAGCTTTCATTAATTTTAATTCCACTTTATTTTTTCACAAAGTTTGCTTGTCTTGCCACGCACAAAACAATTGAATTTGTTTCTGGTTTGTTAAAGGTTCTTAATAATTTCATATTTCTGTGGATGAGACTTGAAGCATTGTCTGCTCTAAATAACTATTGATGTGTCGAATTGCTTCTGTTTACTAAAAAAAAAAAGCAGAGATTTTACTTTCATCATGAGACTAAATTTGTCTTTTCAGATTTGGAAGAAGCCTTCCAGAACTGTGATGTGTGTGGCATAAGTATACCACAAGCTCCAAAGTTGCTGAAAGATCATGGTGTTTACAAATTAGATTCACAGGTATGTTTTTTTTTAAGAGATAGGGCTTCTATAATTACTTTTGCTCACTCACTTCCCGTACAGCAACATTAGTGGCATACAAGCATTCGTTTGCTTACACTCAAGACCAGACCTTATTTCAGAAATATAATCCATGACTCTCGCGTTTCACTTGGCTAGTTTATCACAGGTCCATTCTTCTGTATTTTCTTTATACATGAAATGCTGTAGTTTTTTTTTAAAGTGCATTAAAAAGCTGTCAACCTAAAGTTTGTATTATTTTATCAAGAATCACTGTAAACTCATCTGCTTAATACATGAGTATGTTTTGTTTACAAATGTTTCTGCTACATTGATTTTTCAAGTTCAAGAGTTAGTCAGAAAAATTATAACTGAACTTTTCCCCACTGCTTAGAACTGTTAAGAACAGAAGCTGAACTTTGACCTCTTGCTGTGTTCTCCCACAGGGCTATGTGGAGGACATCTTATATCAAGCTGACATTGCTGCTTTGGAATCAAATGCCAGGGAGGATGGATGTGTTGCTGCGGTGAGGGGCTACTTGATGCATAGGGACTGATTGGTGACAAAATATCTAGAGCTTTCATCTTTTTGTAAATCATGTCCCTTTTTTTTTTGTACTTCTTACTTTTCTCTTTACCTGCACCTACGGTGGAAAAGTTAGGCTCTCCTCCATTGTATGCTTAAGATGTGAGCTCAATTGTTTTGGGTGTCTCTGTTTACCTAAAGAAAACACTGTTTCCCACTCACCTGAGGGGGGTTCTCATGGTCAAGAGTTACAGTGTTCACCTCTCATTCAGTAGGTCCCGGGTTCAAAACCTGACAGCAAAGGAGAAATTTTTTTTCTCAAAAAATAATTTCTCCTTTCACCTTTCCAGCTTTCTGATCATGTTCTACTGTCTGCTTTCGTCTCCACCTTCTGCCCCCTCCCCCACCCACCCCCTTTGCCCCCTCCTCAAGGCTCGGGATCCTGACTCTTTCTGCTGCCTTTTTTCTGCTTCTTCTTGGCTTCTTACTGATGTTTTCAGCCACACCCCTGATGTTAGGGTAGGTAAAATCTAACACCTAGCCTTCTCGGGTAGGGCGAACAAATCTCGGAGGTCCCATGTGCAAGTTGCGCACATTAAAAATCCCTTGGTGGTTCTAAAATCGATATAAGTAGGCTTTGGACACCACCCAGGCAAAATTCTAAATTAATTCCTACTAAACTGAAAGTGCCTAATGTATCTTGCACGCTCATATGACCTTCGGCAATTGTGAACGCTGTAAAACACCTACCAAGGCAAAAAAACCCAAAAAAACTCGGCTGAGGCTGACACAGACAGGCAAGATCAAAGCAGCTGATCTCCTGATTGATCTAAATTGTGTCAATGGTGATGTAAAACATTTACAATAAGTTTTTTTCTGGATATTAGTCTCATTTTTAGATAGTCTTTTCTTTTCACTATCATGTTCTGAAACTGACATCCTACGAAAGAGAGTTCATTGTCTTTTGTGCTTTGTAATCAACTAAAGTAAGTAGTTGGCAAGTTTATAGTATGTCATTTCTCATTAATGTAGAACGATACATGTGCAGGAAATATACTTATGCAAGCCAGTGATGGTTTACTTAAATCGTTTGAAACTTTTTCTGCTTGCTTACATAAAAGTTGTGTCTGTCACCTGCCTTTTACTAAAATTAAAGAATCTTGTCTGAAGATACATCATGACTGCCATTTTACAACTGATTGAGCATTGGTGTGTAAATATATAGTATATAATCTTTAAAAAAGCATTCTTTGTAGAATTTTATTTCTCCTTCATGCTGAATCTCATTGTGCTTGCTTTGCAGGCTGTGGGCATTGTGTACTTGTCCCTTGAAGTAGCTGAGAGACTGTTGGCATTTTATACCAAGCCCCCCTTGGATGCCTGCACCTACATGGGGCTGGACAGTGGTCAGCCACCTTTCAAGGTACTCTATTACTTAAAAAGACATTTGCAATTGCAGTAGAAAATTTTGTGTTTTAATTGGTGACCACATGCGTTGGAGTTGGTTTTGTTTGGTTCTTGCTTGCAAATATAGCTTTAATTTCTCTCTTTTCTTGTCACTATGGATATCTTGTGGTTTGTGAAGAGGGGGTGGGGGCACTCTAGAGGTGTTCATAGAGATTTTCCATTCTCTTTGTGATCCCACAGGTGGCTGGTGGGTGTTATGGTGTCGTCTACTCCTAATTTGTCTTCTGTTTCATTAAATCCATGTTCTTTTTTCCCTTTCGGTGAAATCTTAATATTTTCTTGCTAACTTATCTAAAATTACAACTAGACTGTCCCAGCTCTCTGTCTGCTCTATCTGCTTTCACTATTTTTATTATGGTGAATACAAAATTGATTTGGTTTTTCAGATTCCTGAAAGTCATTCATGATAATTGTTGAGAATTAAAAGAGTTTTCAAAAGTTGTGCACTGATAAAATGGGATTCTGTTGATGCCTTGACACATGAAATTTATATCTTAGGAAGAATCTTTAAAAATGTGCCTATCCCTCATTGAAACAATGACTTCTCCTGTTATTTTCTTTCAGTTGTCACTTTTCTTTGATGTCCTCCTCCCGATGACATCTGCCGTGTCAGAGGATGACTTTATTCGAGGCAACAGGGGTGCGTCTTTTGGCAAGCCTGCAACAGAGCAGCCCCCAAGCAGCAAGTTCAACATGGAGTACGCTCGCACCATGCTCTGGAGAGATCTACATGGCTTCCGCATGAAAGCTGGTAACTTCTCTTCTTGCTTTTAAATATTCTGACTTGGTGCAGTTAGTAAAAAATATGACCTATTCTCCAGAAACTCAACAGTTGAGTCTCACTGGGGTGCCTCATTTTTTTTGTCTTACCAGCGAAACTTTCTCACTTATCCATGTCTTGTTATGAGACAAGGTGCTGTTTCTCCAAACAATCCTACTGTGTATCTAGTAGTTGGGTTCAACAAGAGCTTCAAAATCTCAATAAAAGTCATGATGAAAGTAATTATAATTTCTGCTACTCTTGTAAAACTGTAATACGTTCATGGCCACTTATACTTTAGTGAGTAAAAATTGTACTGGTGTGATTGCATTGATGCTTTATAACATCAATTAACAAAAGAATTGTGTATGTTATTTCTTTAGTTAATGAATGATGTATCCACAAGCTCAGCAGAATTAATATTTTTCAGGATCAAATTTTGGAAATTTGCCCTTTCTTAAGTCTAATTTGGCTATATGAAATTAAAATAATATTGCCATTTTGCCGAAACTTGAAGTCTTTTTCTAATTGAGAAATGTATATGGCATCTTTGTTATCCACAAAGCACAGACAGTTTTACAATGAATGGTTTCAGACATATGTCAATGGGCAGCTGAATTATTGCAGAGCACTCAGTAAGATTCCCTATAGGGAGGGTTCTTTTTATTGAGTATCTCCAACTGTCTCCTGGAATTCTGTGTCTATATCATCCTGAGTTGGCCTCGACAGGCAGGGTGAAAGCCCTGCTCCTAATTTATGTGAATTATTAAACGTCTACAATTTTTAAAACTTGGTAAAATTGTTGTTCCATGTACCTGAGTGATTTACGAGTATTCATTCTCTTACTCTGGTAATTGTAACTGGAGACTAAAGTAGAATTCCTAGTCAGTCTTGTGGCTATGGTCAAGGTTAATTTATGATGTCATGGGATCTCTGTTACTGTTTAGACAACTTTTCTTTTTCTTATTTATAATCACAGACAGCATTTCGTAATGATCTCCTCTCTCTTTTCTCCCTCTTCGGCAGTCATCATCGAGGGTGGTAAGTACCACTACATGACCCACACAGCTGCGGAACACAAGAAGAACATGCTGATGTGCCCAGAGACTCCAGGGCTGGGCTACCACTGGACCAATATGGCTCATGTGGAGGTAGAGGTGAGACACTGTGGCCAGAATGAAAAATATGTGCAGCTTCACAAAATAATAGTTTAGCGCACACTTAGCAAAATCGATGTGATGCTGAAATCTTTTTGTCTTACAGGGTGAACAAAAAAAGACTTAACAACTTTTTTTTCTGAATATCTCGCTCAAAAATTGTTCTAGAATGCTGTAATTTGGAACAGACATAATTTAGACCTGCATGTTTGCCGACAATCGTCTGAAATCCGACAATCGCGACCCGACCCGCGAGCCGACCGATGCTATCGCTAGGCCCACATGTATCAGTCAATGTGCGTAATGTGAGGCCTGGCCGACTGCCAGCGCCCCCTTTTTCTCCCGTCGGCTTTGTCGGCACTTTCGTTATCGTGCCGACGTCGGCGTTTCCGACATAATTGTCGGAACCTGAGTAGAAATGCGAATACGAAAAAGGACGACGACCTAAATTATCTACTTTCAGTTTCGTGCTCGAGCGGCCATTTTGAATTTCGTTTTGTTGACTAATTCAATTGTTCAGATCGTGTGGATTCATTCAAGTCCGACTCACTTTTCTAATAGAATCTAGATCTATATTTATATATAGATCATTATAGACCTCAATGGAGGATTCATATTCCAATTCTATTGTGTCAAACCCTATTATAGGTTGTGCTGTAATATTAATGTTGGTAAACTAAAAAGCATTTCATCAGGTGTGTGAATTATTTATTTATTTAGAATCTAGATCTAGATCTAGACTCAGCTGAGTGAGTCCCTCTGTTCGGAATCGGATGCGGATTTCTAGTTCAAGACCTATTCCTAGATCCTATTCACTTGTTCTACAAGATCTAGATCTAAATCTAGAGCTAGATTTATTTAGATTACTAGATCTATATGGAGGATTCATATTCCAATTCTATTGTGTTATTGTATCAAACCCTATTATACTAACAATATGTAGATGTAGGCCATATTATGCTCCTTGTAAGCCTTGTTTGTTTTGGAGTGTGGTTTTTTAATTTTAAAAATTTATAAATTTTGGAATTGTGCTGGCCTTTTTACATGAGGCTCGTTGCAGGTTCTTTTTTGGGGTAGGGTTGGGTCTCTTTTTTATTGTGTTTGTTTGGGTAGTTGCTCGTTACTCGGAAGTCCTTCCTTATGACACCCACAGAAGCTCTTAATGGGGGGGGGGGGGGGCGCAAAATTTTCAGACAATCTGGTTGAGGCTCACATGCAGGTCTAATAATTTATTCAAAAGGAATATTTGAAATATAAGATACACGAAGAAGAAACTTGTTTTGAAAACTGAAACGGCTAATAGAAAAAAGCACCCCAAAACGCAAAGTTCACCAATATTTTAAAATCTTGTAATGGAAGTCGTGAAGAGATAAGTTGACCTTTTTCTTTATTTTCTCTTTGACATTAATTTTCCATCCCTGTGGCTTGTAAACAATATTTAATTTCTTTTACAGAGTTTAAAAAACCTAATGATTTCATTCTGAAATTCATAGTAGCAGTGCTCCACATTCCCTCCTTTGGACACATTTTTAAAGCGTTGTTCGAAATGTTCAGTGGCGCCCTAACACTAGGGCCTGCTAAACCTTGAGTTTGTAAAGCCACATACACAGTACATATTCACTAAGAAGTGGCTTCTAGAGACAATAGAGTGGGGTGCCCAATAGACAGCATTTTTGGAGTTAACATATCCCTTAGGGTGAAAATGGGCTTTGCACTAAACCAAAGGTCATCGAGGAAATGATCCCGCTTTTCAAGACAATCGAGGAATCATGAACACTTTGCCATGCTCTGATCCATGTCATTTCGGCTTTACGAAGGTGAACATGGTGTAGAATCTAGTCATAGATTAAGATCTGCCATGAGAATGCAGACTGTTGAGGTGTAGGAAAGTCCTAGCCGCAGATCATCCACGGACAGACGTCTTGTGGGACTCGACGTCTGGCGTTTAAAGGGCTGCACATGGTGCGTGTTCTTCCTGAAATGGTCATTTATTAAAGAACTTTTAAGTTCTGATTCGCTATAGATCCAAATTGACGGAACTTCTCTACTCATGACGCCAAAGGTCTTGAGGGCACCTTAGCATTCTCTCCATGCTGTGCGCAGAACTTACGAAATGTCAGGCTTGGTGAGTTTGTGGAGAGGTAATGTTCAATACAAAAAGCTCTCTGCTCTTTACGAAACGTAACCATGATCTAAGCAGGCTAACCAAATTTGCGAAAAATAATATCGACAGACTTCTGTTGACTTGTTAGACTGCTGTAGCTTGCAGTATGGCGCGATCGTTTCAGCTTTTAGTGGTAGGCCTAATACGAACTGGTGCATTATGCTATGAAAATGACGACAAGGTTGAAAATGGGTTGCTTTTTTAATGCGCTATATAGAGAAATACCATTAAATGAACTTATCTAAAATACATATCAAACAAATTCCTTTTGGCTTCCAAACGTTATGTTCAAATCTGAAACGAAAAACTTCAGTATGGAGGAAGATATTTACAAAACAAGTTGTAAAGTTTTTTTTTGATCACCCTGTTTATGAATGAATTTCGCTATATATACATATTTTAGCTACAAAGAATATACATGTATAAGAAAAAATTCAGTACCTGAAAATCTGGTCATTATGTACGTGTTTTGCTATGTGCTTGTTTCACTATGTGCATATTTTGCCTTTTGCATGTTAGACTATGTTGAACTTTCTTGTCCCCAGTCCTCATTGTCTGTGTCGGAGGACAGTACAATGATCAACTCCGTCCTGACTGGGGACATCACTGTTGGAGGAAGGACACTCGTATCGCACTCAAACCTGAGTGGGAAGATGAAAATTGGCAAGGACTGTCTCATCTCCTCTCTGCTGGTTGAACGCAACAAGGTGGGAAAGCAGTTTTAAATCAGACACAATAAACTGTTACCATTTACTGTGATTTGGCACTTTGTTTTATATTCATATGGCACGGGTCATTTAACTCTATCTCCGAGGGGGGTAAACCCACTATGCTGCATCACTAAATTGGTCATTAAATCAAAACAAGTGAACCTGTTTTGATAGTTCTTCATTTAATAAATGAACTCACTGTAAAAGAGACCTGTTTTTTGCAAATGCTGAAAAGTAATTTGACGTCGAAGTCATCATAAAGGAATGTGCCCGAGCAGCTACCTGCGGCTTACCGGCACAGTGGTTCCTGCCGCGATCCACTGGCAGTGGCTTGCCGAATATAAGGTGTTAAGATATAAACAAAACAAGTGATTTCAACATTTGTTGCCTTAAGATGATAATACTGATGTGAAAAAGATCTAGAGAGAGGGTAGTTCAGTACAAATTTTTTTTTAACTTACAGTTTCACTCTATTGCCTAAGATGTGTGAAGGATTGTAAGATTATTTGTGGAGAAATTAGGAGTGTATAAGCTTATTAGGACTCATTGAAGTTTGTTTTTCTCCTTCAGGGTGTCCAGCAAAGTCGTAAAGTCGTAAAAAAGTCGTAAATTCGGCGCTCTGGTCGTAAAGGTCGTAAATGGTAGTAAATGCGCCTTGAAGGTAGTAAACATTTGGTAAACGGTCGTAAATTAATCTGCGTAGGGAGTGATGAAGAGCCAAAACAGGCTTCATTGAACCCTAGCCGCGGTACATGACTCCGTTTTAGCCGGTCGCTATTGTGCTATAATATTCGTTCTCCTTTTCCCCGTCCGAGAGTACGTTTCACGCAAAAAGCCAGCTATGGCGGCAAGGCGAAAGTGTGCGTGGCGGCAGGCGAAAGTGTGCGTGACACCGAGGCTCGACTGGGAAAATCAAGATCTACTTTCGCTTTCAGAAATAAGCCGGTGATAGACTGA